CCATGAACTTTCCATTTCATTGACTCTCGCACTACACACTGTTGCACATCACCCCGGACTACATTTCCCATCATGCATTACTGATTGCACTCAGCACGAATTGCACACACCTGTTTACACTGATTGCACCCAGCTGTTTCATATCACTCCCTCACTATATAACACTCACTCTTATCCCTTCCCTCTGCCGAGTATTGTTCCGCATTTATCACTCCCCTAGAGATAGCGACTCTACAGAGCCCTCGTTTGTTGCCTTAGCCTTAGCCTTAGCCCTTGTCATTTTCCTTAGCCTTAGCCCTTGTCATTTTCCTTAGCCTTAACCTTAGCCTTAGCCTTCTCGGTTTCTGATCTTCGCCTGGTTCCCTGGATTCACCCCTTTTGTCTTGCCCCTTTTTGATTCTGTCTGCCGATCGTCGACCTGCGCTAGCCCTAGGACTATTCTTGTGTTTTGCCCACCATATACCTGTCTGCCTCTATCTGACCCATGCCTGTTTTGACCACGTCTCTGTCTTCTCCACAATAAAGTTTGCACATGGATCCGCACGTCTCACGTCTCGTCAGCCCCGTAACAATTATACTTTTAGTGCTGCATCTTAGGATGTTTTTTGTTTTTTCTTGAGGCTGAAAGTCCTATAAAAAAATCTTTGTGGAGATATTTTAATTTTTCTTAAATAAATAAAATTTATTTAAGACATTTTTTTTTAAATAAAATGACAAAAGTCCCTCTATTCATGGCCTCCTGAAGATATTGGCCAAAGACCATCATGCATAACACATCAGACTAAGGTGTGACCCACAAGACAATGTACAGACAGAAGGTTATGTGTTCATTTGCCATAGGATTTTCTCTGTTGAACACAGAGCCAGTCACATGCAGCGCTGACATTTCACTTCTTAAACGGTTCCCCTAGAATCTGATGCATGTCTGTGGGGCTGGCAGACACACCCCACACCCCACCCCATGCACTCACATGCAGCGCTGACATTTCACTTCTTAAACGGTTCCCCTAGAATCTGATGCATGTCTGTGGGGCTGGCAGACACACCCCACACCCCACCCCATGCACTCACATGCAGCGCTGACATTTCACTTCTTAAACGGTTCCCCTAGAATCTGATGCATGTCTGTGGGGCTGGCAGACACACCCCACATGAGGCGCAGGTTCCCAGTGTGAAATCAACAGGACGTTGTGTTTCACGGAGCATGTTAAAACACTGACGTGAGAAGACTAAGGTATATTTGACAGCTAAAATGTTAACATGAGCTCACTAAGACATCCAGAGGGATATTAACATGGTAATTAAGCACAACAGCACTAATAGAACAAAAATCTGAAGAAAAAGTGGTATTATGGCACTGTTGCCGTGGTAATGGAGCTTAAATTGAACAGAGATGAATTTGGGAGGGCAGCTGCTGTGAGGATGTTTCTGGTTATGAGAGCAACAATATAAATGAATTACAGGAAGAATGTCTAGTACATCTCCGGCGGAATTTAGTAATGGCTAAACGAAATTGACGGCAGACTATCCTGCTTAGTCCTTGCATTTTCTTTTTTGTATTCGTTTTTTGTCTTATTGTTTTATGACCCCGGCAGCTGCTGTGAGAGCAGTTTGGCTTGAGCAAAGAAGCTGTTTACGATCAGCACACTGTTGTCTGGGCAGACGTCAAAGTGCAGATTTATTCAGAGACCAAAAGCTCCATTAGTCGGAGTTTTTAATTAGCACACTTGTGTGAGAGGGTCATTAAGAATGATTTGCTGTTGTGATTGAGGGCTTGCTGATGGGCAAGTCACAGACCCTGCTGAGTCTGCTTCTGACCCCAAACTCATAGATATAGCTTCGGCCAAAACAAAGCAGTGATGACAAAAAAAAAACTAATCTGGGCAACTCTTCACTGGATCCAGTGTTACCCTGTCAAACGAGATGTAACAGCAGTCTAAATTGCCTACCGGTTTCTGGGTGTTCCATCTCTCCAATGCTGCCATCAGGGGTGGTCCGTTCATAGTGGTCCTCAGGCAGGGCGAGGGGGCCGATACGTGGTCCTGAAGAGCTCTTGCTGCTGGGGGTCTCAGACTCCTCCAGACCACTGTCATAGTAACTCTGCTGAGAGGAGTCCTGCTGATCTTGCACAGGATTGGCTGTGGAGAATGTCACTCTGCGATGCGGGAGCTGCAATCGAGAGGAAAGAGGGGCCTTCAGTCACACAACAATCTAATTATAACTTTAGGCCCCAAAACTAGGCTAATTGACCACTAAATTTGTAATATCACACTTCAGCAGACGGGCATTTTCAATATGTAATTTCCAGAGGGGCGGCTAATGAGGAAACGTTTTGTTCAAATTGAGGGGAAATGGTAAAGAGGAAATCACTTATTAGAGTATCTCTCCGCAGAGGGGAAAGCGATATAACTCTCCTTTGATATCACTGCTTAGGTGACCACATTGTTTTTCACAAGGCCAATGAGGGCAAACACTCATGCTGAAATACAGAGGCGCAGAGCTCATAAAAGAGTGGAAATCACAGAATCCTGCAAAAAAGCCACCATTTCCCAATTCTGTGTGAGCTCACAGCCCGTCGACTGCAGGGAGGGATCGATAGTGCCAGGTTGCATACACGCGTACAAACACATACAAACTGGCAAACAAAACCATTTTAGCCATTAAGAGAGCAATTTCAGTTCATATAAAAAGCCCATTAACACGGCCATTTAAAACATATAGAGAGGCCATTAACGCAACGTACTTCACCATCCCAAAGTCGTAAGGCTTTCTTTTTCTCCCTCTAATTCAGCATGTTTATTTCATCAACTATTTTCTTGACTTCTCCAGAAATTTAATGACCAAAGTGTTCAGAAATGCAGTGCACATACAAATACCGTTAATCTGCACCTTTGTGTAGCTAGTCATGCAACATATTGCTCATTTACATACATGCCAGAGTTGTGCTATATAACTGCGCAATTATTAAAATCCAACATCGCATAGAAAATGACAGCATACTCTCCAAACGGTGTCACAGATGTGCACTCCAAGTAGAGACAGCTTTGTTAATTATAATTAGAGTAATTTTTTGGGGACGTGTTGCACTGTGCTGCGTGCATCCAGTGTAAGAACAGTATACAGTGCGACTATAGATTGTTTATGGCTGTTCTGCAGTCCTGTAATCCTGCAACTTGTAGTACTATAGAATTCAACTGAGGTATGATTGCAACTATGCATACACGATTGATGTATGCATATTTTATATTAAATAACCATGTATTAATGTCATAATATACTGTATACTATATATACTGGATATATACATTTAGGGGTTCAGTTTCCAGGAACATTAACTATACTGTGATATTTATATTGTTACCATGATATTAAATTACTTGTACCATGATATAAGATCTTGGTCATTCTGCCCGCCCCAAATCTATTTACTTGTACACATCCCCTCATTGCTCATAAGCTGTACACACACTTCCACTAAACATTTGTACTTTGTGCTAACTCTTTACTCTGTCACGTTCATGAGTTGTAGGCCTGTTCTTCGTGTGCTCCCTTGTGCCCTGGTATTTACGGTTAGTGAGGCACTGAAGTGCGTAGACGAACATTCTCACTGCACAGTAATTACATCGACTTCCTTAGCAAACTCAGACATGGACTCACAGCATGAGTCCCTCTGTTGTCAAAGCTTTCATACAATGAGGGTGAATGTGTGTGGAAGAGAGAAAGAGATACAAGGGAGAACCATGGGGTGTTTTGTCTTGGGGCAGAAACTTTTTAATATTTCTTTTTATTTTAATTTTCTTATTAATTTGTAGTCTTTGATGAGTAAGGGACCGCATGCACACCATTCTTCGGGTGGCACACGTTTTAGTCATTGTTTTATCTTTTGTAAAATGTGCTTATCATGCTTTGTAGAAAATGCAAATGGAACTGCTTGATCACTGTAAAGGGATGTAGTGATTATAAGGCCACATGTAGTATGCAAATTGTAGCGTTTGATCTACAGTAAGGGACTTTGAAAAGAAAAATCCTGAAGTGCAGTTTTATTAGGGAAAGCACATTATTACAGTTATGATATTTTAATTGCTAATGTCGTTGCCATCCCAAGTACCATCCTGGAATAATGGCATTCTCAGCGACTAGAATTGTACTTCAGACATGTTGCTATTTAAACCTAAGAGAGACATTTAGTTATTTAAATATGGATTCTTGCTTAAACTGTTCCTACAGGCATTGCTCGAGAGTCAGCACTTATATCCCCCCTTAGCGCAGGAAGCTGCAGCTCTGCAGATGGGGTAGAGTCTCAGCACACAGTCTGGTCTCTCTCTCTCTCCCTCCAGGGGGAGCACTGCAGAGCTGGGATGGGGGAGGGGTGGGTGATTTAGTGGGGGTAGCACCGAGGCAGGACCAAGATAAAGGAACAGAGCCTTGGCTCTGGATGTAAAAGAGCCAGTCTCCATTCTGGCTGGCTTGAGTACTGCATTGATGCATGGAATAAAGTGATCCCTGATTAGAATCGACCTGCATGGATTTTGATGACTGTGAATTGAGTAACTGGAGTTGGGCACTTTGGATTCTTTGGGTCTTGTAATAGAGTATTGGACAAGAAGAAGAGTCAGAGAGGGAATCTTAAGATTGTAGAGGGACCTGGAATGGACAGAGTCTTGGATTGGAGAGTGTCTTGTACTGGGCTGAGAATCTTGGACAGGTCAGAGAGTCTTGGATTGGAGAGGGTCTTGGACTGGAAAGAGAGAACTGCACCAGTCAGAGAGTCTTGCTTTGGAGAGACAGCCTAGAATTAGGCAGGGAGTCATGGATTGGAAAGGGTCTCGGATAGGAGAGAGAGAGATTTGGACCAGGCAGAAAGTCTTACTTTGGAGAGACAGGCTAGAACTAGGCAGGGAGCATTGAATTGGAGAGGGTCTTGGACTGGAGACTGAAACTTAGATTGTAGACAGGGCCACATTAATGCCTGGGCTTAAGCCCAGGGCCCCGGGCTGAGGGGGGGGCCCCCGGTGATACCGGAAATATTGTAACCACATTTTCCGTTACCTTAAAATGACACTTTATCACTTTTGGGTTGAATGTGCGTGCGGGCGTTGCATGTCCTGCGCGAGAAGTGTCAGTAAAACGCTCCCAAATATGAAAGAGAAAAGGGGAAAATTAGCAAAAATAAACTGAAAAATCATGCAGTCAAATTTGTTGGAAAAAAAATCCAAAGTTCACGGCATATTTTAATGCAAGGCTAAGAGAAGATGCAGATCACAGCAAAGGTAGGTCATGCTAGCAGTAGCTAGATACAGTAGGCTATAATTAGTCAAATAATAAACTCCTTTTTCATCTTAACATAGTTGAGCTCACAGTATTAGCCATCACACACTAGAGCTATGGAGTATGATCATTTTTGTGATGCATCGCAATGCTGATGTGGACGATTCTGTATAATGTAATTAAATAGGCCTCATCATACATATTAATGTAGGCTACAGTTTTATTATAATAAATTACTCTTGTTATAGGCTATTTTAATTAAGAAATGTATCTGAATATTTGACTTGGTGAGTATTCGCGTAAAAAGACTTTTGTAAACAGTTGTGGAAAAATCTAATGTGTAATCGGATTCTGGTTTAGATCTTTATATAATAGCTACAACTCAAACAACGAAAGAAAAGAGGGAATTACTCCTCTTGACTGAATTAATTTGTAGCTTTATTCTTTGTAATTAATACACTAAAGACTATGCAATGATTATACTTACATTTGATTATTCAATTTGCTACTGTAAAATAGATGTAAAAGTAAAGCACTGTTAATTTTTTTTATAGGCCTATATCGTATTTTCTCTACAGTTTATTTGCATCTTTGTTTTTATTTTTAATAGGCTAGCAGAGGTCAAATAACAAAAAGAGCTTTATTGTGATTATTACTATGGTAATTATTATTAATTAAATAATTGGAGGAGAAGATGCATTGTGATGCATCCTAATCAATCGAATCAAACCGTGAAGCAACTGAAGATTCACACTTGCGATTTGGCCAAAAGGGCTCAACAGTGGTTCAAATTTTGATTTGCCCTGCCACAAAAAAAATTATTGTTTTGATTTTTTCATCATCGTTTTATCATTGTTTTTTCAATATCAAATTTATAGATAGGCCTACCTGTTAAATTTTACAATTCTAATTCCAATTGAAGACAAGTCAGTAAATAAGAACAAATGAACCAATTATAAACAATAGCACAAATAGCCTAAATAAATGAATAAATAGAACAAAGATAAAAAATAAACAATGTGTTAGGTTTTTGAGTTTGTAGGTATTCAGGTACAGAAATTGAATAATCAAATTATCTTTGCTGTTTACTTCGCGTTACACTATGGAGGATTTGCTTAATTATTTTATTATTATTATTATTTATTTGATTCCTCAGTGTTTGTTAAACATTCTGTAATTTATTAGTCGTATATACAGCATGTGATGTATCCTATGACATGCCTCATCTTATTCTTTTTTGTTAATAAAGGTTATGCAAGCTAGTTTGTCATTGTAGCCTACTGTTTTATTGTTGTTGTGCTTTTTAATTGGGAATAACAATAAATCCATCTTTTGTTTTAGTCTTAAAAAGTGAAAGGTGTATAGATATATGCAAAAACAGACAATTATCTTTTCTTTTAAAAAGTGACACCAAGATCGCGAATTTGAAAGTGAAAGTGCACGAAAAGAGGAATTCCTGCTCACAAAATTTAAAACACAAATAATACTGATGAAAAAGAACGGGTTGAATGTTGAACACTTTTGTTACTATATAACTATAAACTATGATAAAAGTTCATCAGCATGCAATGATTAATCAAATGTTGTAGCAAAAAAAAAAAATTGCGAACAAATTATGTGCTAGTGCGACCAACTGAGAAAGTTAGTCGCAAAAGAGCGACCAGTGGGAAGAATGAGTCTAGAGCCCTGATATATGTGTAATATTTTAACCGAGCCCTCACTAACTGAGTTTAATGCCACAATTATGTTAGAACGCATCTCATTGTTTCTGTGGCGGTGTGTCGGGCTCATCATGGGGCGCGCAGTCCGGAGCGTTGTATGCAGGGCCGCATTAATGCACGGGCTTACCTGGGCTTAAGCCCAGGGCCCTGGGCTGAGGGAGGGCCCCCGGTGATGCCGGA